CACATCCTGTCATTTAATCTAGCTGGTACGAACACAAGCTCTTTTGATCTGTACCAACTATCACTATCTCAGTGTAGATCTCATACTCCCTATCTGTTATGCTAAAAAAGCTGTAATTAGAGGACTTAAGCTAGTCTTATTGAATTATATTATTTTTCCTCCCTAAACCAAAGATACATCAGTCTCAGTTTCCTTCTTTCTGTGTACTTTTGCATCTGTATTTTGATTAGAGATCCAATGTTTTCGAAAGAGAAAAGAGTCTGTGTTTAGTAGATTTAAAGTCATTATAATTTAATCTGATTGCAGAAAAAAAAGGGCATTTCCAGAGCATTTTAACTGAAAGGTGAGTATAAGTTCACTTGGGCTCAGGCTGCCACATACGCTGCCCCTAAGTTCAGCAAAGTGTAACAGAACATGGAAAATTTTGGAGGTTACATTTCTTTTCCACAGTGCTAATGTCACTACTATAGGACTTTTAGTTGCTGAAAATGAGGATTAGCTTCAAGACTCTCTTCTCCTTCTCACCCCATCTAGCAAGTAAGAAAAACAAAACTGGCAGCCAGATAGATACCTTGGTCTCTCTTTCTGGTCTCACCATGTGCATTGCAATAAATCACTGTAAAATCTCTATCCCTGCCCTCCCTCCCTGCATACATCTGCTCTCAGCAGAATTCAGGCAGAGACATAATTTCCCATAAACAGGGCATTGAGCCAGGCAGCTGCCTGTCACTGTCCTTTTAGGAATGTCTGTCTTCTGATTTACCAGAGGAAACATTGGGTACTCGCCCTTCTTCCACCAAGGAACAAGTGCACGTCAGGTGATACTGGCAAGTAGATGGATGTTTGTGCTTCAGTTTATTCCTGCTACACCCTCTTCTGGTAACTTGCTGTCTGCCCACACATGGGATTGCAGATTCATTAGATTACACTGCAAAGAAATTAGATTGCAAATTCATTGGACTACATGCCAAGAAGTAGGCCTCACAAAAACAAAATGCCTATTCCAAAAGGCCCAAGGTGCCCTTCAGACACATGTGTACCACACACACAAACATCTCCCAAACTGGTCTGCTTGCCAGATTTTTAGTCTGATTTTAGAGTCTGTATTTCTATCCTGCCAATGGTTTATTAACCTTTTTGTTACAAGCAGCTTCCAGTAATCTTTGTTATATTCACACCAGATTCACAGCAGAAGAATCTAGGCTATATTTTTTTCACTTACATTTTCTTCTGCATGACATCTCCCAAAGCTTTTTCAGTGGCATTGTTTCAGGGAGACGGAGTTGCCACGGCTGGTCTGTACGTCAGGCTGTGATGCTTTTCATGACTCAGGCTGTATAATGATTCCAGTGAGGCCAAGACTGCAGGATTTGGCCTCCACTTTGCTCCACAAAGAACACTGACTTTGCAGAAATCATTATGTTGTATTTACAGGGGATGAGATGCTTCATAATAATGCAGTAATTATTTTAAGGATGCCTGTCACTTTGACTACTTTGGCAAAAATATTCAGGATTGTTTGCTCTTGTTTTCGGAATGATAGAGGAAAAATCAATAATCATTCATGGGCCTCTCAAATGAAATGGTTTCCATTAAGTACCATTAAGATGCCAGTACAGCTTTTTGTGAATAGAATTGTCAATAGATATCCATATATAAAATAATAATATATTTTCAGTGGCACCAGCATAAACCATTTGAATTATATGACCTGTATCTCAATCAGATTTTGGCTGGGATAAATGTGAATTCTTAACTCCTCACTCACTGCTCCTGAAAAACAAACAGGCAGTGCAGCCATTTTAAGCAGAAAATGAATGGTTTTGTACCTAATAAACTCCTGAGTGAATTGGCTCAAGAAATTCCAAGACTTGGCACTCAGTGTAGGCACTCAATGTAGGAACTCCAGTTAACTGAACAAAAGTATAAACCTGTAGTAGTCCAGAGCCAGTAGGAGCAAATCTACAACAAATGTAAACCAGTAGAAGGAGACAGAGCCACACTGTACGACCAGGGAATACAGAGCACAATCTGTACTGCATTAATGCTCTACATGGTTACAATCTTCTGCAGAGTTGGCTGAATCTGAACATTGATCAGCACATGTTGCATTTTCCTTTGATCTTGTAATTGAAACTAAATATTGGGTTTAGGAAATAAGACTCTGGCAACAATTTCTACCTCACATTTGGTAAATCAATTAGTCTATCAATCAAATCCCCTCTCTGTATTTCCTGGTCTGTGACATGTGAATACTGAGGTAAGAATGAACTAAACATATGCTAAGTGTTCTGACCTCCTTGTAGACATTTGGCATACTAGAATTGCAAAGTATTATTCTATTTAGGAATGCAGGTCTTGCTAATTCTCTGTTACCCTTCAGACTGTTCCATTTCTGAACATTTTGAAAAGAAAACTCTCCTAAATTCCCTTTTATTTACAGTGCATAATTTTGTACTGGTACTAGTAAAAATGAACATGAGAAAATAATCAAGACTGTGTTTTTTGAAAATAAGAAATGCCTAGGAAAATGCAGTGAAAAATTTTATTATTACACCAAAATATTAGCATACAGTAGGGATACCATTCTGTACACCAGTGATTCTACCACCTGTATGTGTCCCACATATGGCTGAAAGGCTCTTAAATAATCCCTGTGTTTGCTGCTTTTATAATATTCATAAAACCCAAGCTTTTATTCATTTGCAGCCATTTTTGATTGAAACTGAAAAGTTAAACCTTCAAATCTCCTGAAGAAAAAGGAGACAAGATGTAAACAAGTAACAATGTCATCTGAAGATCTCCAGATATGCTTCCAACTGGGACTAGGGAGAAAGACTCTCATTTGCAGTATGCACTGATCTAATTAGAATTGACATAGTATAGCACTTAGATGATGTAAACCAGCTTATTAAAAGGAAGCTCATTTTTGTGGTATTTTTAAAAGCATTGAAGGTGCAGGAAGGTTCAGTGAAGCTAGGTAAGATCCCCAAGTTCTACTCCTGTTTCCCCTAGAGATATAACTCCACCTTCCCCAGCCTTGAAGTTGTCATTCTCCAGACAGGACCTGTTTTTCTCTTCCTCTGGACACTGTTGCTGAGCAAGCCAGCTCAGCACATTCCCTTCAGGCAACCAGCCACAACTTAGTCAGCCACATGCAGGTTCCTGGTAACCTATAGCTGGGAGAAGGCCCTCTTCAACTATGATGAAGGACTCCAGTGATCTTACCTTGGAGGAATAGGCTGCAAAACCTAAGTTACAATAAGCTTCAGATGAGATTGTGAACAGGAGGCAAAAAGAGGTCTTTGGCAAGTAATGCCAATACTGTTGATGCAGATACTGATTTCTGCTATACTATTTATCAGAACATAAACCTGTAAAAAGTGAATCTTATCTTTGAGAGCCACAGATGTGGCCACTGATCTTCCAGTCAGTGATCTTCCAGTCAGTGAGCTCTTGCAGTAGAGAAATATTAATCCACTGCATTTTGAACCCAGATTTATTTGCTGAAATCTTACAGAATCTTAGAATGGCTTGGGTTGGAATGGACCTTAAAGATCCTCTAGTTCCAATCCCTTGCCATGGGCAGGGAACACCTTTCACTAGACCAGCCTGGCCCCTCCAGCCTGGCCTTGAACATTTCCAAGGACGGGACATTCGCTTCTCTGGACAACCTGCTCCAGTGCCTCACCATCCTCACAGTCAATAATTTTTTCCTAAAACCTAATCTAAAGCTACGCTCAGTTTGGATCCATTCCCTCTCGTTCTGTCATCACATGCCATTGTAAAAAGTCCCACTCTGTCTTTCCTGTGGGTTCCCTTCAGGTACTGGAGGCCGCAAATAGATCACCCCTAAGCCACTTCTTTTCCAGGCTGAACAACCAATTCCCTCGTAGAAGAGGTGCTCTGTCTTTCCAATTCTTGTGGTAGCCTCCTCTGGACTTGTGGAGAAACACAGCGGGAAACACAGCCAATAACACAACTGGAAACCAGCTCTCACTTGAGGGTGAGGTGAAGATGTGCAGTGTCGGCAGGAACCAGTGCCAATCCCCTGGGATGACTCCATGCAATCTCTGGCTTTAGGAGACCATCTCTACACACAGTTTGTGCCTCCCTTTTTCCAGGAAGCAACTGCAAGAGCTTGGGAACAGCTGGAGATATGTCATGCTGGCTGTTTACCTTCTCCACTCAGAGAAGACAGCAGCTGGAAAGCATGTTCCTGCTTTAAAAGAGCATCTCCCTCCCCACTGTAGAATCCCCGAAGGTAAGAGCCCAGTGTGTGTCTCAGACACTGATAACTGGATGGCTGTGGAGCCAATGAATCAGACAGGAATCCCACCAGACAAGAATTCTTGGTAATAACAAAAGACTGTTGGCATTAATACACTGTGAAGAAAAACAAGTTGTGAGTGGAGAAGGGGGCCAGGAGGAGGTAGGGCACCACTTTTCTCGGACAAACATCCTTGCTTAAGTTCTTGGAGATAAGCACAACAAACCACAGCGCAAGCACAGGAATGAGGCCAAGACATGGGCATGGGCTGTAGGAGGGATCAAGGCCACTCAAGACCCTTGATAGAACAGACTGTGCATGGGAACTAATTTACGCAGAAAGAGAGAAACGAGTCTTCAGGGCAGGGAAACCTAGCCATAAAGAGGTATCCCTGCCCTGAACATCAGCTGGATCCCTTTCTCTTTCCCTTTCTCTCTCTCTTTCCCCTTTAATTCTTCTCTTCCTTTCTCTATTCCCTCTCCCCCCTGCCCTTTACGCAAAACCCCCTGCCGTGCGCTTTTCGTGCATGTCAGGGACTAACTTACACCAGCTGCTATGCCCAGTGCATGATTCCCTAATCAAATCTTGTTTTCTGCGGGCCCTATTGCCCGGCTCCCTTCCCTCCAAGCGCATTTACGAGACTGGGATGGATCGTTTCCCCTCCAGGCCGGCTCGCCCGACCGCCGCTTCCGCATCCCGCTCCCTCCGACGTCACCGCCGGTGCCGGGCCCGCCCTGCTGCCGCCGCGCCCGGGAGCCGCACGCCGTGCTCGCCCGCCCGCCCGCAGGTAAGCGCGGCCACCCCCGGCTGGCCCCGGCCGCTCCCTGTGCCTTTGGGCCTTTCCCGAGGCCTTGGGAAGCGGGGAATCCCGCTGGCGGGAGGCAGGGCCGCTGTGCATGCGTTGTGGGCGCTGCTGGCGTTGTTAGCGAGCATTATAAACGCGGTTTGTGGAGTCGCAGCGTGGTTTGGGGTGGAAGGGATTTTAAAGATCGCGTTATTCCAACCCCTCTGCTGTGGACAGGGACGCCTTCCACTACAGGCGAGGTTGCTTAGAGCTCCATCCGGCCTGGCCTTGAATGTTTAATGTATGACATGTTTACGACTGGCTTACGTGTAGGTGAGAAAAAGAACATGGGCTGTAGGCTTTTTTTTGCATTTTTTGAGGATGGATGTTCTGTGGGCAGTAAACGGTTACATGTCTGTTAAAAATTGGGAAAATAGTGTTGAAACTTGAGGAGCCTTGGGAACTTGGCAAAGTTTTTCAAAGAGAAGGTAGAGTGTGCATATACAGGCTGTGAGCACAGTTAAGCAGCACCTAACAGAAGGGCAGGTGGCACTTAAAGTTATGAGTACCCTGTAATGAAACATCTGTAGCTCTCCTGTTGCTGCAAAGGTCAAAATGTCCCCTTCCTTACACTTTGTCACAGCTTTCTGACCACAAGCTTAGCTGCTGCCAACATCGTGGAATGGACTTCCAGTAGCAAATTAAAATTTAGATGATGCTGATTAAAAGGCCTCATTTTTGAGACAAACAAAAATGGAAGAACTGGATTTTAGAATCAGCATGGAAATGTGTCTGGCATATTTCTTGGTTTTAAAAGTATAAAAAAACCACTTCAAATCTAAAATACATGGGTATTGCTAATCCTGTGGCAGTATGACATTGGTAAAGAAATGAGAAAACACTCAACCCAAAGCTCTTCTCCAAAGTGTGAGAAATTTGAAAGTAATTGGTAGAATTTTCAGGCTTCATGTCAGAAAAACAGAAACCTTTATGAAAAGTGCCTTTCTCTTTGAAGTGGCTTAAGATTTTTAGCGTTGTTTTTTTCATCTGTGGTCTGCTTTTCCTCTAAATAAATAAACAGAACACCAGAATGGACTGGCCACCATAGCTCCAGGTAGATGTTTTTTTTCCTGCATCAGTAAAATCCATGCTAAGAACACAAACATCCCACAATTACTAAATTATATTGAACCAAAAAATGGGTAAACATGCTTCTAATATGAACAGCCAAATAAAAATAACAGTTAGCACAGCCAAATAAAAACCAGCTGAAAATACATGTGAATTGCTGTTCAAAATGGTACAGAGAGGCACTACACAAATTACAAATACAGAAAATTACATTATAGTAAAGGAAGTGCTTTTTCATGCATTGTGGAACTAGTGGCTAAAGGAAACTAGGTCAGCAGTTTAAAGGGATTGGAAAAACCTCTTGGCTTTAATTCTGGATATTCATATTCATGGTGCTGATATCAGTGGAGAGTGGCAGCAGGTTTTAGAAGTAGTAAACTCTCCATAGTTTTCAAGTATACAGGAGGTGCAAACTGCAGGCAGGTCACTTCCTGTTGCTGGAAATTTGTAGGACAGAAGTATTCAGTATTGATTGTTGTCCCCACTGATTTGTCCAAGGAGACAGACTTTTGCTGCACAAGAAGTTCCTGGTAGGTTTTTTTTCCTCTATGCAATTAGTAAATATGCATGAAAAGATGAAATAATCTAATTACCTAATCTGATTTTTATTAGGTGAAAAATCTGAAAAAAAAAAAAAAAGGATTGAGCTAAGTACAAAGAAAAGGCCTTTTAGTGCTTAAGGAATACGCAAGAATTAACATGATGAGCGGATTGCAATATTTAGCAGAATCTAAATCGCTTTTTTGTCTTCTGTTTACACATTACTAAATATTTCAAATACACCATTTTTATCCCGAACTTGCAGTTTTAATTCCAGTTGAAAACCACATTCATGACGCTAACACTGAGCATTTTTCATTTCTGCTTAAGTGGTTTCCTATTGCCGTGTTGACAGATGCATGTAGCTTCCACTGTGTTCACAATGTATCTTCAGCAAAAGATACACAGAGGTGCTTCTGGCCTAATTAGAGTTTGTATCTTTCAGTGTGACAGGGCTTTGCTGGGGTCACAGAGCCCAGAGCGGGGTGTGAGCGGGAAGGGAAGTTTGGTTTTGCTTTTTAAGCCAGCTGGCAATTGCTTTCGAAGGCTTGTGTTAAATCACCTCTAGATATATTAAAAGATTATTCATAAAAGCCACCTGAAAATTGACTGCAATTTCTATTTTTCCTGGGTGTGCTTTTCTTAAAAGGGGTCTCTAGTTCTTCTCTTCTTTCTCCTGGAAGATAAATATAGCTAATTTTGCTAGTAGTATTGTCCACAAACATCTGTATTCTGTTTTTATTTAAAATACCTTCATATGGCATTTAACTTGGTTGTCTCTTAGATCAATAGCCATGTTAACACTACAGCAAACTGCTTTTGATTGTCACCTGTGTAGTTGTTTTTATAGAGTCTGCAAAAAATGACGTATTTTCTCTTTCTCCTTTTCATGTTTGTGTCTTTTCTGTGGTTCATTAATCATGTCTAATATTTCCCTCCCTTTTTGCAGTTTGTGTTACCTACTTTGGTTTATAGTGTACTGATATGTTGACTGCAAAGAGAACAAGGTTTTTCTTGTGTTCTAAACAGAAAATGCAGTCCTCTTTCTGAATAAATGAGAATTTATTCAGGATTTTTCAGAAATTTCAGATTATTCAGAAATTTTGCACCTATGGAAACTAAGAAACATTTTTTCTAAACAGACCTAAATGCAATGCATAAATTTTCTCATGAAAATGGCTTACTTTTGCAATCTAAAGTCCTTTTCTTCCTCAAATACATATTCTTGTGGGGTTTTTTCCCCAAAAATTACATGGCAGCTCAGGGTTATTAAAAAGGAAGTTTGTTTCTGGTAAGTTGGTGTTAGGAAGTTGTGCAACATTTTTCATCACAGGTTTTTTGACTCAGTGTCCTTAATCAAAGTAGTAAATTTATTTTGTACTTTATGTTTATGGGTTATGAACCTTTTTTTGCATTCTCAAAATTTAAGATCTTTGAAGTGTTACCGTTGTAACAACCACAGGTTATGTGTTGTGCATCATAGGTCTTACTGCTTGATAATGAAAATTTTGTCTTATTTCCTTCAAAATTCCCCATTGTTTGCATTACTTATCTAGCTAGATTTTTTCATTACTTCTCTTATCTGAATATTTCTACTATCCTTAATTTTTAAAGTGAGAACTCAGTGCCAATAAAATCTGGTAGAAAGTCAGTAAATTCAAATCACATTGTAATTAACATTGTAATTCTAATTAACACTGTCTTCAGGGACTGACTTAAGTTTTTGCTTATTCAAAATACAAAAAGAAACACTTGAAGAACTTTGAGGAAAAATTTGTTTGTTATTTAATAACTGAAACATAACTACTGAGGGCAGTATAGCTTTTGGAGTCATGGAGTTCCCTCCCTTCTATCCTTTGCTTTGTCATTGTGCAGGTGTGAGTACAAAAGCCATGTGTTGATTTTGGCAGAAACAGCTTTGTGGAGTTTCTAGTGTACACGTTTTCTCATGTAGTTTGCTCTTGTTAAGGTTACCAAAATTGTTTTAGGCTGTTGACTTTTGCCTCATTGTTGGCTTGTATATCCTTCTTAGAGATTAGTTATGCTGAAACAGCAGTGTAATGAAAAGACAGAGGTCCCTACACAGCAGGAGTAGGAACTTGCTAGTTCCTGTGGAAGTGAACAGAAAACACAAGTTTAATAAATTCTTCCCGCTCCCCAGGCAGAAGCAGCAGACTTAGCAGTGCAGGGTTCTGTACACAGGCTAAAGGGCAGCCTTGTTCCTTTGAAGTTCGATTGTTGGAGGTTAAGATTTTTCCTTTTCTTTCTTTTTTCTTTCTCCCATGGAATTTTGTCCCATTTGTTGTACGAGACAGTAACAAGCCCTACTTATGAGAGACAAAAGAAATGGCCAAGGTGGGGAAGGGTGCGGCTGGCTACTCTCTTACCCGAGGGGCTTTTTCTTGGGAAGGGCAGAGATACGGTGAGATTGTGGCTGGGGTGTGAGGGCTGGGCTTCACCCCGGCCCTCTCCCTGGTAGGCGAGGGACAGAGGGACAGAGGGACAGCCGGTCTGTGGGCGCTGCCCGGAGGATTTGCTGCCACTGCTGCTCCTACCGCAGGTGAGCCTTTGCTCCTGAGAGCAGCTGATGAACTGGGACCTAATTAACACCCGATCCGACTGGAAAGGACCTTCACCATCTATTCGGGTGCCTCGGGGCAAAGCCCGGGACCCTGACCCTCTCCCGCATCCTGGAGAGCGCGTCTCCCTGGCTGCTGCTGCCCAGCCTCGCTGCTTTCTGACGCTGCCTCGGGCTTTTTTGCTACACTCTTACCCAGCAGCCGACCCCCCAAAGCTCCGGCTAAAGCTGCGGGGGTTGTCTGTTACATTTTGTTTTGTCCCAGGGGTGTGCCTGCCTCTGCAATCCCCTCTGCCCCTCCGAGGTTCCCGCCGCAGCCCACTTCGCTGTCCATCCCGCCATCACCGCTGAGGGGGGACGCGGCCGAGCTCGCGCCGCAGCGCCCCCTGCAGGCGCGGGGCGATCACGGCGCCCGCCCCGCCCGGGAGCCAGCAGCGCCCCCGCCGGCCGTGAGCGGAACTGCACGCAGGGGGCAGCGCCTGCGGCCCGGAGCGGCGGGGCTGGGTTTGTGCTCTGCCGCGTTATCCTTGTGCGGACTAGTAAAGGCCTAGTATTGCTTTCCCGTATCTTTGCCTGGAATCCCTATATTTTCAAATTTATAATAATTTGGAGGAAAGTGGGTCATATTTTTTCATTCCAAAGGAGGTTCCCTGCCTTCTTTGGCAGACACCTGTCTTTCAAACCAAGACACCGATGCAGATTTTTCCCTTTCCTTGCTAATAGTGTTGAGTAAATACTCAGTAAATGTGAGGATAAACATAATTCTTTCTGGTTCATGAGACAGCAAGGATAGCAAAATGTGTTTCAGACTGTATTAGTTATCTTTTCCTTCTATGTTCCTATTCTTCTTCTGTCTTATTCCCTAAGTTAAGTTATTCCCTAACTTGATATACTGAAAAGAATTTCAAATATGTGACTGTTTATCCTTGTAAACCACCTCCAATTAATTTTGGTAACACATACTTGCTACAGGCTTTTGTTAGTACTCTTTTTTATTCTTGCTGGTGCTGGATACACTGATTAAGGGAGAGAGAGAAGTTGGAATTTATCACTATGTTCATGCCTGCCTGTCAAATCAAGACCATAGTAGGTCGGTTAAGTACTGCAGTGATGGAAAGACCTGTAGGTGATTCTTGGATTGGATTACCTCTCTCCCTGTTTGTGTAAGTGTAGGGAACATGTGTTGACGCACACCTTCTAACCAAACTTGGCTGTATTAACGACCAGGAAAATCTAGTTGCTTTTGTAGTTTTGAGGGTTTTTTAATGCTGTATTATATGACCAAAATTAAAAACAAGCATTGTTTCTGAACCCTTTTAATCAACCTAACATGGCAGATTATAAACCAGGTGGCCAGAGGGGTAGAACGAAACACAAACAGTGTTATTGTGAATGTCAGAAATAATTGTATTGGTATTTTGCCTTTCTGTGGGCAGCAACTTGTGGATCCAGCTCAGCTTTCTTCCGTGGGTCTGCCACAGCTGACAGAAGCAATGCTTATGTGTGTGGTGTGTGGGTTACGTGCTGGGGTGGGGAGGGGACCTTTAGCATGGTTGGCATTGTGATTCTGAACTCAGTGTGAAAACCAGCTCTGACCAGGATGAGCAGTCATGCAGCTGAGTAGGATTATAATTCTTAACTGTGTAAACAACAGTGGTGAAACTGGGCTTGTTAACTGCCTGATCATATTTCTGAAATCACACGGTATGGTTAAAACTGAAATTGCAGACAAGCTTGAGTAGCTCCACACTGTTTTTTCTACCAATCGTCTTTCTTTTTGACCTGCAAGAGACAACATAAATAAAAGGAAACCTCTTTCACACATCTCATGCTCTTGCCAGGGAAAGGGAAAGATCAAATTGATATCTAAAACAAACTGCAGTGATGCGACAGCTCTTTGCTGTGTGTACTGACTGTGTGGCTTGGTGTTCATAGATAAAATGCAGCCTCTGTACTTGGCACCTGGAGAGTGGGATTATCACTCTGAGTCTAAGAAAAGTCTGCAGTGATCCAGGTGCTCTCACTGTTCTCGATGCAGCTCACCAAATAGGCAGGAAAATTACATATTTCTTCTCTTCTTTCCTTAGAACATTTGAAAAGTTGTTGCTCAATAGATGTTGTAGAAAATAACATAGCTCTAAGTAACATTAACTCCCCAAGATAATACCTGATTTATGATTTGAATTAAAGATATTGATTGCAAACCAGCAGCCAGATGGCTTGGCAGTAGCCATACCATGGTACTATGAATTCTGGGAACAGAAAAGGGGTACTTTGGGATTTTTCACATCTTATTTCCCAATTGCTGTGCACTGATGTGTTGACAAGATTGCGAGAGTATTCTGAAATCCCCAAAATCAACTCAGCTTTGTTACAGGTAGAGTTATATTGCGGATTATAATACCCCTTAGGGACTTCAGAAAGCTGGATACAGGGTTCACAAGAAGAATTTTTTGGACCTACTCCTAAATGAACTGACCATGACATAACTGGTGCTGAAGTAATGTCTCTTCCTAAGACAGACTGAAGCCCATTGGTTCTGTTTGTGGTTTGGGGTTTTTTTTGGTTAGTTTTGTTTTTGTTTTTCCTGATGTGCTGCCTGCTGCTTGGTGTAGCTCTTTCTGTAGTGTGATTTATAGAGCACTTATTTTAAACATGCAAATAATTTCTTTCTATCACAGATCATAAAAAGTAAATACTGTTTTAGGACTGTTGCAAGAATAGGTACTAAAGTCATGTAAATTGTAATGCTCCTTCGTGCCATTTTGCACAGGAGTTAGGAGATATCTCTGAAATTGCAGGACATTTAACAGTGTTGCTGCTGGCATTATCTGCTAGAACTCTTCACATGCAGGCTTTTCTTATAATGTTTAATGAATGAATGCTAATGCTTTGTGTTGTAAATTGCAGTCTTTTAAATACCTACAGTCTGTAGGTACTTAATGAAAAGGATTATTATTTTTGTTTCCACTTTCCAGATGGAAACGTCAGAAGATTATAATAACATGGAAGAATACCCCACTGAAATTCATGATTATCTCACAGCATTTGAAAAGTCTCTTGGCTCTGTAGATGAGATGCTGAAGACAATGATGTCAGTTTCTAGGAGTGAGCTTTTGCAAAAGGTAACTTATCTTCCTTTTGAAACTCTTTTCCTTGTTAATACACAAATACTTGAGAGCCTGAACTGAAATAAAAGGGTCTGTTAGGCCAGCCACTGCACTGAGAAATAACAAAAATTACTCCTACACTTGACACTTACTGTTAAGTCCTTTCATTTCTAAGATAGTCTTACAAGCTCAACAATGCAACACATGCTCTTCCAAGCTGATAAGTGATAACTTTACCAGTGAGTCATTTAGCTCAGGGACATTATAGCTTATTCCTGACCTTCCTTAACATGCTCGTCCATAATGGAGAGGTCACTCACATTTTTGACTGAGACTTCTTCACAACAAATTGAATGGAACTGGTGTACCCATCAGGATGTGAAGGTGAACTGGCAGAAGTGGAAATTGATCTGATTCCAGAAGTCTAGACTTGCAGAACCTGAGCTGTCTCCTCTAGCTATGCTATAAGCCTACAAAAAGTGGCTTTTTATCAGAGCAAGGTAGTGCCTGAGAATTTCATATAAGCATCTCTGTCTTGTAACATGTAAAGCCTAATGTGTAATTTCTTTCTGTAAGACAAGAAAAAGGCAACACATGAGGGAACTTCTTTATCCTGTGAGAATTTCTTACACAAATAAATTATGAAGAAAACAGTCTTGACAACACAGATCTTTTGACAGTATCCATGTTAGAACTAGTGAGCTCTACAATGATGTTATCAGAGTTTCTGGAAGTCATGTAGGACTAAAATAATAAATTGACTTTGACAGTCAAGGGAAACAAAACCCCTTTCATTACCTTTATCCTTCTTTTGCTTTATATCCATAAGTATTCTGACATGCATTGAAGACACAGTCTGCTATGTGTAGTGTTAACATTCATTGATTGTATATTGATGTTTGTGTTTCAGCAACTTTTAAACTTTTTTCCCCCTTCCATTTAGCAACAACTATTTTGAATTAAGTTTCTGTGGAAAAATGGGGACTTAATTTCTGACTATGGGAGCAGTAGTACAAGAGCTTCATGCTAAGGGATTTTGCTTTTGGTTTATTATGGGCCTGTGGCATTGAATTCAGAATGGGAGAATTACATGAATGCTTGGAGAGGAGAGAATGAGTGGTCCTGTGATGGCATGGAAATAAGGCATAAACACAGTCTCAATGAACTTGTGATGCAAAAACACGCTCCTTCATTGGAGAGGAGAGAATGAGTGGTCCTGTGATGGCATGGAAATAAGGCATAAGGTATTTTGTGATGCAAAACATGCTCCTTCGGTGTGTATTCTTTTATTAATACATTTACAATTATAAAATGTGCACATTACCACAATCAGTGCCTATCTTGCTTAAAATTCTTCAAATATGATGTTGGTGTTTTTTTGTTTTTTTTTCATTCTAGTTAGATCCTCTTGAGCAAGCAAAGCTGGATTTGGTTTCGGTGTACACATTAAATTCTATGTTCTGGGGTAAGTATGTGGTAGAAAGGAAAACGTAGTATTTATTATTACCATTCGAACGCCTAGACAGCCACAAACACTAAATAATCATATCTCATAGCCAAATAATTAAAACCTTGTAATTACCCTGAGGACCCACATTCTTGCCATCCATAGGGTAAATGACGTTGAAATTCTGAATCAAAAATCTATATTTAGAAAAGCTAATTTTGTACATGTGTGAGTATGTTTCTGGTTCTTTTGTGGCAGCCTTTTCTGTTCTTTAAAGGGCTGAAAGTTTAGCCATTTTAGTTGTTAAATTTTAACCATTTTAGTTGTTGAAGCTATTTTAGTTGCAATATTTAATAATAATAATTTGTCAGATACTTAGTGACACCATTAACAATTCTTATTAATGATTTTGTGTGGAAGCTTTGGTTTTCCTGTGTGACTGCTTGATAGGGTCCTCAGTCACAGACAGCCTTCAGTTTCAAAACAATCTTGTTTTTTTTCTTGTAGTATACTTGGCTACCCAGGGAATCAATCCAAAGGAACATCCAGTGAAACAAGAACTGGTGAGTTGCTTACCCTGCATGCATCCTACTTGTGCAGGATGGTTAGCCCAAATAGAATTTAAAAAATGTTTGTATCTACATTTAAAAAATGATACATTGCTCTAATAGCATGCAGATGCTACATGGTGTTATATAACTATTTATATGCCCTGCTGAGCTCTCTAAATTTAGAAATTTTTTACTTTTAAACAGTACTGTTTAAAGTGAAGTGGTAGAGTCTGCTGAAATTAGAAAAGGATGATGAATGATATCATCTTATCTTTTCTTTTTTTCCACCTTTGGTTGAGAATTGGATTCTGTGCAGAGCAGCTTTTCACTTGTATCTGTTAAATGGAAAAATGTTGCAGTCCTGATAATAATTTATAACTTCCAGTATGGCATTTTTTATTTCTTATAAATACTTGGAATCATGTTAATCTCTGAGGCTGCCTTTTCTTACTTTTGTGTGACTCTAAAAGTAGTGTGGTTGATTTACTAGCGAAGACGGGAAAGTGCCCCCTCCCCCTTCCAAGCCCTCCAATAATTCATTTTCTCAGCAGTAAAGAATCCAGTTCAACAAAGCTAAAAGCTTTTTTGGCACCAGTTATATGTGTATTGTCCAGTAATTCTGCATTAGTGACATATTTACGACCTATAATAAATCTTTAGTTTTGTCTCTATATTCCATTTAGATGCATGACTACAGTATAGAAGGCCAGCTATCTTGAAAATTCTGCTGACTTAAAAAACTGAATCATTTAGCCTGAAGAAGAAACAGAAATCAAAACTTCTCACTACTCATTTTAATTCCTGAATAAATGAAAATACTAAATCTCAGCAGATGTAAAATAGTTAGCTTAAATGTAATCCTTACATAACCATGGAATGGGAGAGAGGACTAAAAATGCAGAAAGATAGCCTGAATATCAAGAATAGTTCTATTTTTAAATTTGTGAGGTTTTCAGTAGTCTAGACTGTATCATATTAAAAAATGCATCAGTTAATACTTCATGAGCTTTCTGTCAGTTTTTTGTTCCTCCTATGTTATATAGTTTCTGAATATCATGTTAATTTAGTGATACTAAGAACTTTTATCTCTTCTGCTGTGGATATTTTATGTTTGTATTTTGCTTCACAACTGCTGTTTTAACTCCGAAGAAAGAGTGAATATTTTCCTAGCCTAGATTGTTACTCGGGTCTCTTTTCCTTTTGCAAGTATCGAGGTTGAATGAATGCAGATTTCTTCCTTCCAAAGGCATTGTGATGTTTTTATTCATGTGGAAAGGGAATTAAAAAAGACTGTTCTGTCATGATTATTTTGTTTGTAGAATTGCTCTCCTTGTATACATACAGGTATTCAAACTGTATTAACAAAACGCTCACTCAGGCTATCAGAATTAATTTCTTTTGTCAAGTTGACATTTTCCAGCTCCTTTTTCCCATGTTAATACATATAGGTTTGCCATCTGTTCTCATTAGCCATCTCAGTCACCAAAGAAATATTACAGCCAATCATGATTTCAGACCCTGTAAAGCCCTCCTTGTTAAAGCTGTGTTTCTGATACAGAAAGAGTGGCTTTTGACAACTTTTTGACAGTTGCTTAAAATGATCACTGAAGAGTTGAAAATCAGTTATGTAGTGTAAGTCTTGTAACTTTTGTTCCAGATTCAAAGAGGTGGCAATGACTGTGAGAAATGTGTGGGTTACATATCAAAATTTATTTTAGCAGTATCCACATGTGTTCTGTTAATCCACATTCATAATTCAAGTATCAGGTAGAGCACTACATATATGTGTACATATATATTTATATATTACTGTTGTTTGTATGACAGTAACATCCAAAGGCTCTACAGTTAAAGGCCATATTAGGCTAAATATGTATACCTGAAATCTGTAAACCAAATTGTTAAATATTTTGCAGAGTTACTCTGAGTGTACTCCCTTATGAGTGAAGAGAAGCAGGCACTTATCAGAGGGGGTTTCACATCTTAAAGCTGCTTAGTACCCTCTCAAAGTAATTTTCTTTATTTGTTGCAGAAGCAGATGAGGATGAGTAGGCACATAAATGACATTGTTAAGCTGGGAGTGTATACTTTTGTGGGGCTGAATCCAGGTCATGGTTTCGCCAAAAAAAAAACAACCCATAAACACCAAATAACTGGTAGGCCAAGATATGTCAAATAAGCCTGCCCTTTTCCTTGGAAATAGGCCTGTATTGTTATTTATGGCCATAAAATGAACTTCTGATGTGGCTGGAAATTCATCAGGCTGCCCTAAATAAGTTCTTTGATTAGACCCCTTGACAATTTCAGGAACTTAACCCCTAGACTTCTGGGCAGTTGTATGTGTGATGCTTGTACCATCTTCAATTTTGTGTAAGATGCCTTTTTAGCTTTGTTTGGACTTGCTGATTTTTTAATTTTTTTTTTTTTTTTTTTTTTGTGGACAGCAGTCAGGCAGTATAATGCATCCATAAATGTGTCAAATACCTAAATATTACTTTGGCATTTTTATGTAGGTCAAACTCCAAACTGAGTTCAGTATTTTATTTTCTAACTTAGCTTGCAAGAACAGTTCCCATATCTCTGCAAATTAGATGCAGAGTCTGCATCTCTGTAGGACTGTGTGTTCCTGTTATAGTGGGTGTCATGCAGATGGTGTGGTAGGTACCTGTGATGGAAAATATGCTAAAGGGAAGACTCAAGTTTGCAAAGGGCCTGGTATATTTATTTAAGTAATACTATTCTTCTAGTTATTATAGTTCTAGAAGTGTACAGTGTGGAGAACTTCTACTCATTGATTCATTTTAGCAGTAATCTTGGGAGAATGGTTTGAAATACTTTTCTTTTTTTTTTTTTTCCTCCCTAGGAGAGAATAAGAACATACATGAACAAGGTCAAAGAAATAGCAGACAAGAAAAAGGCATCCAAACTTGATAAAGGAGCTGCTTCTAGATTTGTAAAAAATGCACTCTGGGAACCAAATGCAGAAAATGAACATACTTCCAAAACTCCTGCTAAGGGAAAAAAGAGACAGAGGGACTAAGTCTTTTTTTCCCCTCATAAGAATTGCAGAGACCTAGAACTTACTTGGAAATGTTTTGCATACTGCATGCATCTCATAGAAGTGCCGTATAGCAGATTAACTTACAAATTTTACAGGATTGTATTTTGTCCAGAACACTTGTCACTGAGGTGATCACATTTAATGTGTATCTAAAAGTGCCGTTTGATGCACATTGGACATTTCATTACTCAGTTGATAATGACCTGACATATACTTGCTGGTAATAAATACTAGTGATGTTTTGCTTATAATGCCTATGAATTCAAATTTTTTAATGATTTATTGACACTTTTTTATATGTCCTCAATCTCCTCAGTATTAAAAAGTTTTAAACACTGCTGTCCAGTGTGTGGTGTTTATGACAGAGCATTGTGTGAAATGCCATATTTTTAGAGTTTTGTAAGGTTTATTCACTGTGTTGAACTCTTTTCAACTTGAAGGTGTGCAATTTTCCCTTTCTTCTGTTGCCTCTGAGAAAGCAGGGCTTCAAGGGCCACAAGCAAACACCCTGGATTCTGCTCTAAGCCTCTGTCTAGTCAGTGAAAAAGTTAGATGTTTCCTAAGGGCAGTTTGTAGGGTCCAAAGAAAAGGAGCAGGCTGGGGATGGCTATTAGGAAGCAGCACATGCAGGAACTTGATGGAATTTTGGCTGCAGTGCTCATCCCTTAGTGCTAATGCTGGGATGGTGGGAGTGCTCTGGGGTGGTGGGAGTGTGGCCATCTATTGGTGTTTCTCAAGTCTTCATTAGGGAAAGCACCCTCTGGTGCAATAAAAACTACTGCTCCATCTTGGAAATACTGTGTTTTTCATCAAAATGTGAAGATTAGTTTTTTAGGAAGGCTGGGGTGCTAGGTGAGTTCAGCTTTCAATATGCTGCAATGCAAAGCTCAATTATCTGCCCAAAAGCTATTTAACAATTATGAAGGAAAAATAGATGATTTAGCTCAAAAAATGCAGTATGGGTAGCAATTCACAATCCATACAAGTGTTTGGGAAATGTTGTTAGTGTGAAGGACTAAACTATAAGAACAAAGCTCTAGCACTGCAAGCTGAATGATGCTCAGTGGATGGTTGCTGTCCTTGGCATTGTACTGCCGCAGGCAATGCAGAGTGTGAACTAAACTGAATTAGGTATTAAAATGATGGTTTTTCCCTAATTATTATCTAAAAATACGCATTTGAAAGGAAAAATTCAATGCATTGACAAGTTTATTAAACCCATTACATGTCTAGAAACTTTTTTAGTGACTGGTATGAATTTACATGTTTTTGTTTACAATAAACTCTTCAGGTAAATAGCAATGAATGCCTTCAATCCATCTAACAAGAGAACTATTTAGATGTGGGTACCTAACCTTGCTGCCTCAAATCCACAGGACTGCTTATGTGAGTATGCATGTCAAAGGCCTGTAAGAAGCTAAAATGACAGTGCTTTATTTCTTCAGGTTGATGTCATGGTTGTGTCAAATGAAGGAGCTGCTGGATTTGGGAGTCCAGAAAAAATAGGAAAGTTGGGAGAGATTTTTTTTTTGTTTGTTTGCTTTTTCAGTTAAGGTTAAAAATTCAAAAGACCCAAAGGGTGTTCTTGACCTTGTTTGTTTTTTTTTGTTTGTTTTTTCAGTTAAGGTTAAAAATTCGAAAGACCCAAAGGGTGTTCTTGACCAAAAGTAACACATTTATGTGAAGCAGTTCTTCTAAATAGGTTTGGATGCTGTTTGTTTGGAAGTCTTTGTGCCCTGTCTTGTACCCCTTTCAACCTGACACTGCAGATGGCAGTGTTAGACTGTTATAAATAGACTTATGGTCTAGGTGTGAGTGTTGAGGTCTGCATGTACAAAACATGAGGTTGAAAATGTTAGTCTCAAACACACTGATCTAAAAAAAAGAAAAAAGGTCACGTATTCTTTGGACTAGTGGGGGAGAGGGTTGGAGGATAGAAGTGGTCTGAAGTAGCACAAACCAGAGCACTTTAATATAGAAATTTTCTGGGAGATAACATCTTCTGCTTTGAGAGGCATTGTCTTGAGGAAATGAGTAGCTCAGCTTGTACTTATGTGCAGTGCTGTTAATTAAATGGGGATTGGAGGACATTTCCATTACATTATTTTCCTCTTAAGCTTCAATTATAGGTTTTGTTTTAAAAGGATAATTTCTGAAAAGGATCATAATTCATTGTCCAGCAAAGTACACAGGTTTCATTGGTAAATGTTTAAACAAGAGTAATGCAAGGCTATTAGCTGAGACTTACTGAGGTAGAAGTCCATGTGGCATAATTAATTATATGCAGGTATTTGACATTTGTAATAGGACAGTTTAAATAGACATAGCATGTGCAATTTTGTGAATTTTTGTTTAAGGCTTGCATTTTTCAGTACAGCTGTTAATGGTGTGGATTGAAACTTTGGTTTTCTGACACAACACAACCCAGACATATACGCCACAAACTAAGAATCCTCACCCTGTGCTTATTGTTCACTAACAGCCCTATTTGAAAGAAGCTTGTAATCATGATTATGGATGCTAAGTGGTTTTTATATCATTGAAGTGATTACTTTGTTAAAGATTTTGTTTTGATTCAGACATGTAATGAGTGCTTGGAACTTTTTTTTCTTTTCACTCCTTGCACCAAGGAAGTGTTGAGGTTGGTGAGAGCATGTGAAGTTAGCAGCTGGGACTAGAATTTTGTATGAGGTCACATGAGGAATTTTCCAAGTTCACAGAAATATATTTCAGAAGAGAAATGAAAATGCAGCTCAGGATGTTAAATCCCACTCTTATTAGTGGCAAATAACTGCATAAAAATAGCAATTTGTCATTAACTGTCCTAGCCATTAAGGAGATTTTTACTGTAACAAAATGAATATCTGACATGAGGAACAAGGTATTCTCTGAGCTCTGTGAAGTTTACACAGATCTACTGCTAGAAAACATTTCTCTGACAGAGAGTTTACTGTGGCTGTGAACAAAGGGGGAATTTTCCTAGGGCTTAAATTTTCTGCCTTAAAAGTGCTTGCCATATGACTTGGGAAGTCAACAGATCAATGAGGCTCATTTCTACTCCTTCAGTATTTTTATTCCTGGAGAACTGCATTCCTAAGAGTTTTTTTTTTTTTGTTTGTTTGTTTGTTTTTGTTTGTTTGTTTTGTTTTTTTTTAATTAAAAAATAAACATTTTAATTTAAATATTAAAAAAAAATAAAAATAAAAGAGTCGGTTTTCCTGGTCTTGAAAATCAGTGCTAACATAGAGCTTTGTCAAAAACTGTCAGTTTTGCAGCTATATTGAAAATCTCTTCAAGCATATTTATCTGGAATAATAAAAGCTAAGCAAACAAAATTCTCTCAGGATTAGGAACTTTCTTGGGTTTAAGAGGGTAGACTGATACTCAGATTTAACTGCAGGGCTGGGAAATGTAAAGAGAAATCCTAGTTTTCATAGTAAATGACATACATTACCCAGGAAGTGATGGTGACCTGTTTCTGCAGCTCTGGAGGGAGAGACCTTGGTTACCTAGATCAGGACTTGTATCAGCTTTTGGGAGCCATCAACAGCAAACTCCAGTGTGAAACTGGAAACATGGGTGGAGTTACATTGGTGGAATTGGCTCCTCTGGCACAAGGTTTCCAACTTAGAAGTGCCAAAATAATTGAAAGTGGTTGCACCCCAAATGTATGCATGTTATTAGTTTTTCATAAACTGAGATATAAAGGTGTCAAAACAGGGCATTATTAGTTTGTGTTATTATTTCACTTTCTTAGACATTCACTTGCTAGTGACTAAAAAAAAAAAAAAAACGTGTTAAGCTACATCAGTTACAGAAAACAACTGCAAATTTTCATTTTAGAATCACACGATACATATTTGTTAAAAAATGCATTTATGTTCTGCAGTGTGACAGTGTAATTTTCTTCTAATCTGCTTTGAGTAGTATTTCTTACACAAAGTTTCAGAAAGTCCACATGAATGCTTTTGTTTTGCAGAGCACTCTTAGCATTTTAGCATTAGTGGTTGCTTGGGAATTTTTTTTCTTCAATTTATGCTTTCCAGTGGGATACGCTTGTGATATTTTATTGATAAAACCAGCAGTGTATCTTTTTGCTGACTTTTAACCTTTCCTGTAGAGAAGATTACAGATCTATGGAATATTTAGTGCTGGTGATCTAAGAAGCAAACCTTGAACTGCACTGTTTTCATCACCTGTACCAAAGGGGAAAGAGCAAAAGCTTGTTTTTACTACTAAGCTGAGTGAATATGGCATGGAAATATTGTAATGGCAAGGTATCAATTTGTAAAGTGATATATTTCAAAAGGGATACTAAATTTGACTGTGAATAAGAAGTTTTATAAATGGAACATTTAAGAGGCTATCTTTTACTTTTCAGTGTAGGGTTGCCTTGACAGGCATCATTTCAATTTGGCAGCCTCGGCAAATGGATGGATGCAATTCAGTATGATAATTCAGTATTGCCAAGAGGCTTCTTCTGAGTCTTGTGTGGACACGTTCCATGGACAAATTTAAAGTCTAAGTGATAGAAAATGGATTTGATTCGGCTCCACATTGTTTCAACTTTACATCACGACAATCTTGGTATCAAAGGTACCTAGAGAGCACATCCAAAAGAGTACATGAAGCACAAACTACTTTTTTAGTGAAGGGTCACCTTCAATTTATGGTGCATAACAATGCATAATAGTGCATAACAACGATCCAGAATAGACAGAAAAGAAGTAAAACTCAAATGTACCTTAGTAGAGTACTAATTCTAGTGGTAAATTCTTAGCTGCTGTTTGCCAGCAGAGTCTGTTAAAGTAAATGAGCAGCTGCTGAGTTCTGCAAGTGAAAAAGCAGTCTTTGATACTCTCTCACATGGTACGGATATTTCCATGAATGTGGTGTAGCATTTGTTTTCTAGAATGCTTTTTTCCCTTATCACATGAGGTTTTTTTTGCCCCCATGGGAACAAATGAGTCATTGTTTAAAGTAACAAAATTCCTGTCCCCATTATTGAAAGGTGAGAAGGAGAAATGCCTGGTAACAAATGCTGACAAGTTAGATAGCATAAACAATCTTTTTAATTTGTTGCCCTGGGCTGAAAGACCTACTCCCCAGCTCACACACAAGACAAAACATTTTCTCCTGTGAAGTTTCCATGGAGAGAGTGATTCCTTAAGGCAGTTAATCACATGGGATGCTGCTGTCTGAGGATGTACCATTACACATTCACCTGTGTGTTATAGATCACTTGGTTGTCAGGAAGTTCAGTGTTCAACAATACAAAGTGCATGTTACTGAAATGCTATTGTTAGAGACTCTGTATAACATCACAAGCTTAATTA